AATGCTGTAAGAAATGCCTGGGTCTGTTGGCAAAGCGTGACAACAATGACGAAGAAGAAGAAAAACAAGAAGAATACAGACGAGTAATGTACAAGAAAGCTCGTCAAGCCTTTGGGGCTCCTGCTATCAGACCATTGTAGAAAGAAGCTGCAGATATAAAATAGAAAATCAAAGATCTACTGAATGATCCATACTGCAAATTTAATCTTTGGAATAGATAATTAAAGAAAAACTTTAATTTTTGCAAGAATGACATTTCTTGATAAATGATTTACCAGTGAATGTCCTTTACCTAATAATGTATGCATAAGATTTTTATTATTTTGAAAATTGAAAATGAACAGATTCACATGAATTTTTTTGTGTTTATTGTTAAGTTAAGTTTGTCGACATAAATTGGATGGAATTGTACATTCAGTTGAAATTATTTTGACTTTTTATGTAAGGGGCTGGAAAAATGTTATATAAGTAGCTTATGAAATTGCATTAATAACATTCTGCAAGTAATTTAGAAAAAAAATAATACAAGAACAACCATATACGTGTTTTTTCTTTACTTTGTTCACCCGTTTTTTGATTATTAAAAATATTTATGCATATTTACAATTGACTTGAAATTCGGATATTTTGAAAATATTTTTTAACGTACGATAATTTTTAGATTTGACACGAATTCATGTCAAAAACAAAAAGGCGTTGAATTCTGCTGAGTAAGACTCCACAGATTAAAGGTCAAAATTGCTGGTATCCAAAAAAGGCCTTGTCACAAGTAATAAGTGAAATATGAAAACCCAACTACTAACATTTCAAAAGTTATGACCAAGGTTAAGGTTTTTTGAAAATGAGTTAAACTGTAATGTCAGGGTCAAAAGGTGGTAACCAAGGAAACTCTTCACAAGAAATAACCTGTGAGATGAAAGCCCTAGTAACTTTCTTCGATTACGGGGACATAAAAAACTACATCACTTCTGATTGGTCTTTAAATAATATTTTTATGCCCTTGGATCGAAAGATCCCGGGGGTATATTGTTTTTATTCTGTCTGCCTGTTGTCAACTTTAACCTAGCCCATAACTATTGAGTGGTTGGGGTTATATGGCTTTAATATTTCACAGGTGTATTCCTTGTGACCTTTCTTTGGGCACCACTAAATGACCTTAGAGTTTGACCTACTCTTACAAAAAATACCAAACTTTAACCTTGGACATAACGTTTATCATTGAAGATTAAAAAAAAAAACTCCTCTAGGAGTCCGTTTGCAGTCTTTCCCTTTAGCCTCTAATAAACCTGTAAGACATGCTACTCAGCTGAATTTACAAAGAAGGTTCAGACTGTCTCGTTTATTTGCTCAATGCACAGGGCTCGCAACGGAAGTAACTGGTGAACAGGGGATGTTTACTCCTCCTAAGCACCTGATCACACCTTTGGAATTGGAGAAGTTTTGTGCTTTATGTCACGTACAATGGCTTGTAGTGTTTATGGATTTTTTTAAATTTAAAATTTTAGAATCTTCATTAGTCCTTTATGAAAGAGCCTGACCTTACTCTCTTATTGTAAAACCTTCTATACAACGTCCCCATTGTTAAATTATTTGCTCTTTAGAAAATATACTATGATGGACAAAAGTTTTAAGACGTGCAAAATTAGATTTTTTAACGATATACATTAACTTAAGATTATATAGAAGGGGTGATTTATTGTTATGTCACAAACGTTATTGGATTTGATTTTTGTAACTATCTGATAAAAACACCTGTTGCTTTCGTTATAATATTTAATCACATGCTTAAAGCCCAAAGGTAAAAAATAAGATTTATTTTGAGTGGAATTATCAATAATCACCTTCAATGTCAATTATAAGATCTCTAGAAATGTAGGACCAATTTGTGTAATATAAGTGAAGGGATAAAAAAGAATTAATTGTAGCCCTTTCTCATAAGAATGGATTAGGGTGAATCGTGTCACCTTTTTTATTTTGGTTACCCCCCGTTCACACAGAGCTGCGACTCTACAGCGATCATCCCGATCAAGCCACGATCTTAATTTTTTGGGGATCGGGGTAGATCGCAGCCGATCGGCGTCTAAAAAGAGCAATTTGGCAAATTATGGTTCTTCGTTACGACCGTACTACGATGTCTCTACGTCTAACTCGCTGCTAACACGCTTCTAATGCGATGTTACGCAGACTGTTGCCGACAAGCAGCCGTGTTTACTGCGTTTATGCTACGCTGCCACTACGACATCGAAGACCATACTACGACGCTACACAGACCTAGATGACTGTACCGCGATGCCGCTACGGTGATGCCGATCATATTACGATTGCATTACGCTTCTAGTACGATTTTGGCGATGATGTAAATATATCTTACAACGACAGATTTTTGTAGTACGATTTTAGCGATGATACATATCTTGCGACCGCAGTTTTTTTTTTTTCGATCTTTACCACATGGTTTAAGGGCATTTTCAATTGTAACTGTAACAAGATGTGAAAATTATCAATTGCAAATGATCATCAAGTAAAATGTCAATCTTTATATATAGTTTATAGATGATGATTGGTCAAATATTAGCGGTATAAGAACAAACTCCTGTCTGATAGGTCGTGATATGATCGGCGTAAGGTCATTCAAGGTCTTCGTGGGATCTTCAGGAACGTAGAGAGATCGTAGTGAGAACGTAGTACGAACGTAGAGGGAGCATTGCATAAGCGTACTTGGTAAGTTCCTACGCTCTTACGACGCTTTTACTACGATCACGAAGATCTCTCTACGATGCTTTCGCGCTGCCTGTACGATTACGGCGCTTCTACTGCGCTCTTTTTACGACTAAACCCCGATTCTTGTTGGCCACGATCCCGCTACGCTTGTTTTGAACATGTTCAAAATAAGCGTGGTGAGAGCGTAGAGCTCTCCGATCATGAAGACCCTACTGCGATCATAATACGCTTATGACGACACCACGACGTTTCTTCTGCGATTTGTCACGATTGGCCACGCTTTCGGTTACGCTTTGATCGTAGTAGAAACGGCGCCTATGTGTGAACGGGGGTTAGTTCTTATGCACTCACATGTCCAAGATGTGTTTCACCCCCCTAAAATTCTCAGTGTATTTTTTTTAACGTAACTTGACCCTCATATTGGAAAGCAATAAGATAATAAAAGTGAAATCCATTTCATCCAAATTGGAGAGCAATAGGATAATAAAAGTGAAATCCATTTCATCCGAGCTCCTATAAAATCGGCTGATTTACAACGTGTGTCATAATAAGTTCTATATCTGCCGAGAAGGAAAGGTAATTAAGGTTATAGTATATTTCTACTTAAGTCCTCACTTTCATGATTTTTTCAATTCTTTGGCAAATCAACAAAAGTATGATAAAAAATCCAACCATTTAACTGACTAATCTTGCAATGTTTTTTATAATTACCAGCATTACCCCCTTTTGGGGATATATAGTTTTTGTCCTGTCCGTCCGTCTGTTTTTTGTTTGTCTGCAAAAACTTTAACCTTGGCTGTGACTTTTGAGTGGATGGGGTTATGTTTTTCATATTTCACAGATGTAATCCTTGTGACAGGACCTTTCTTTATATACCACCAAATTTAACCTCGTAACCTTGACCTTGGTGTTGGACCCATATTTACCAACAATTTCAGAAAATTAACCTTGGCAATAACTTTTGCATAGGTAGTGCGACGAATTTCAAACTTCACATGTGTATTCGCTGTGACAAGACATTTCATTGAGTGTAAAATATTTTTGAATTGACCTTAGAGTTTGTCCCACTTTTAAAAATATCAGCCTTGACCATAACTTTTGAGACGTTAGTACTAAGATTTTCATAATTCATAGGTGTGTTTCTTGTATAAGAACCTTCCTATTGGTACCAACAATTTTTACCTTGTGACCTTAGAGTTTGACTTGCATTTGAAAACCTTCAACCCTCCCTATAAGCTGTTATAAGGGGACATCAGTGTTTCACAAACACCTCTTGGGTTTTGATGTTGAAAAATTATTTTGCATAAATTATTATAGGTCATGCACCTTAATTTTCGATTTGCTATTTATAACAATACTTTCATTTGAAATATTTTCTTAGGTTGAAAGAATGGCATTTAAGAAGAAAAAGACATGTGAACTCTTGTTAATAATAATCATATCATGTTCTGGTAGGTTTTCATTAAAGATTATTGAACATATTTCGTAAGGGTATTTATTTAAGAAAATATTTATCAGATTAATAACTTTAAAAAAAATAATGTATTATTTAAAAAAAAGGAATATCTATTAAAATCATGCTTTGATGTGAAAATTAAATGAATTGAAATTGAATGGAAATTCGTTTCAATCCTGGTAAACAAATGTGTTTATGATAAGCCAATTTAACTGAAGTGAATACACTGTCTTATTGCCAAGGTTTAAAAACTGATTAACGTGAGAGTGCAAGGATATGTCAATCAAACCCGCCGAAAAATTTGAAATTTCAATATCTTTTAAACGAAATAAGATTTTTAATTAATTTTTGTGTGAAATGCTATTAAAATATATAAGTCGTAATATTATAGAGAAAATAATAACTTCAAATCTGTGTCCAAGTACCTTTAAAACTTTTAGAATTTAAACAAATAATAGTGGTCATGTGTAAAGCTCTATGAAATATGAATCCAGCTTTACTTTGCATGTATATTATCTTATAGACAATTTCTTGAGTAAAAGGACTAATAATGAAGAGGAGACTTTGACAGAACTATTAGATGATGAAGAGAAAACAGCATTTTCATTCAATTGATTTACTTACATTTTTACGCAAGTTAAAAATTTTTATTTTAAAATTGATCAGAAGAAGAAGCACTGTGAGAGACTTGTAAGCCTGATGTAACATTAAAAATGGTGTGAAACTATTTTCAATCCTTGATAGGTACAACAGTAAAAACAACATCACCAACAACAATTACAACTACAAAGGCAGCGATTAAATTCTCAACAGGTACATCTACATTTGTTTCGAAAGTAACAACATCAAATACAACAACATCAACATCTCCGAGTAAAGCAAAATTATCTAAGAGAAACCAAACTACATCTTCAACCAGACCGGAACAAAAATCAACAACAAAAATAACAAAAACTTTAACAGAAACAACGTCACCACTGCCAATAGTTAAATCAATAACAACAACAACAACACCAAGAACGACACCTTCAGCTAGGTCAACTTCAATAACAGCATCGAAAAGAACAATGATGACGTCATCAATGAAAACAGCGAGAGCAACAACGAGAAAAATACTGACACCAGCAGTTACAACTATGAGTTCAGTACAGCAAAGTATGTTCAGAACATAAACGTGTTTTTGTTTAAAAACTGTATCTCATGTACAACTCAGGGATAAAACGAGGATGCAAGTTGTAGCACAATGAAATGCTAGTACATAGTATTGAGAAGTGGGGCAGAAGGGGAAGGTGTATTTTCCCCACTCTTTTTCGAAAAAAAAATCTTTTACAAGAATTCCATTAAAACGTCAATTGACCCCTCCCCTCTTCTTTAAAGTCTGGTCTGTTATAACCTATGCTATTTTTATAAATTTTAACACATTACTAATTTCAGTAAATTATTTTTTCAATAGACTCAGGCATGGATGGGGACCCAGAACGACCAGTATGGCTCTCCTTCACGGAGTATAGAATAATTAGCTGTGTTTCTGTGGTTGTTATTGGAGCCATTGGTTTGTGCTGTAAGACATGTTTTGGTCTGCTTGCCAAACGCAGCGATGATGATGACGACGAAGAAGAAGAAAAACACCGACGAAAAATGTACAACAAAGCTAGAAAGGCATTCGGACCTCCAGTTATCAGACCGATGTATATCGAACTTCGAAAGACATGAGCTCTCAAAATCAAATGAAGACATCGAAGAATAATACAAATTACAAATTGTTCTTTTGAATAAAGATATACATAATTCAGTTTTTTCCCCTAAAAATACATTTGGCTTTTTTAAATTCTATCATCTAAAATGTTAACCTTACTTTATGAAAATCGTTTTATTTTCTATCGCCCATTTTACCTTTTTATACAGCAATATACCAGGAATCCTTGCATATGGAATTTACGTATTGACCTAATTCACCAAATTAGGGCGGGTATTGGCCAAAGATTTTGTACTGGAATATATTGCAATATTTTCAATAAAAATTAAAATGGCATTTAAAAAAATTATATTAATTTCTATTTACATGAAGAATATACATAACTATGAAAAGAAAACAAAAAGGGATTAAAAAAAATCTTAATTTAATTACAGTTATGCAGCTAAATACACCCATACAAGAGTTCTGTCTTTCTGATGGTTTAATCATAGATCTTTATGACAACTTCTACTTACAAACAGCAAACATGTCTCGACTTTGTGGTTGCAATATAAAGTTAGGCAGTATAAACGTAAGAATATTTTTGCAAAAATGAAAACCACATAACCAAACAATTTTATTAATATTGTAAGCTCCCCACGGATGGCCATCCTGGAATGGGGGATATACAAAGTAATAACACAACACTTTTCAAGGTCACTCCTTATTTCTTGCTTAATGTTTGACAGTAATGCAACTTCTCAGGAAGGACAAGGCTTGGTATCAGTTTAATAATTGGTTTATTAATTGATCATTCAACAGGAAATAACAGCAGGTAAACAAACATCTATAGTGGATACATAAAGAATTAATATTCGTTTTGGTCCGTAGTGTCAAGGATAAAAATGGTAAGGAAGTTGACATTAAAAGGCTCTAAAAATCTAACATCAGGTGTCAAGTGTGTTGGGAGATAATTTACAGTTGTCTCACCTAGGATTAGGCTACTACTGCTATATGTTGCCGATGCAACTTATCTGCCAGAGACTGGCAAGGCACTTGTATTTATAACCCTCGGAAGTAGTCATGTGATACAAATTGACCAACGAAACAGTTGTAGGGTGTCACTCAACCAATCGCAGCGCTGTACGGCGCCGTACAAAAAGAGATCTGTCAAACAGTGTCAAACAAGGCTGTCGTACAATGAGGATAATAACCACAAAACGGAATTAAAATGTGAAAAGACAAAATAACCAATAAATATGGATTTCAAAAGATGTATCTATAATAAGTAAGTAAACATTTCA